CTATATATATATATATATATATATATATATATATATATATATATATATATATATATATATATATATATATATATATAGTACTTATGTATGGCACATCCGTGTGGCCTAGCACTAGCGGGGAGTGTCTGGGTCGTGCTCCAACTTGTTAGACTTGCTTGCACGGGCGACAATCTCTTTCACAGTGCCTTACATACGTTCTATCTATATTTATCGAGGTTAATCAATGCACGAGGTCACCAAGTGAGTATGACGTCTTGCATTCGTTTTCCCAGTCCATTGACACTGAGTATATGGTAAAGATTTAATTATATTAGTACTTATAACTATCTATATTGTGTGCGTCTAATCTCCCGCGGTTTGCACGGGCGATCGTTAGGGGTTCGACCACATAAGTTTTGGGGCATATCAGGTGACCGCAAACAGTTTGCACGGGCGATTGTTTGTGAAAGGTTTTTTATTTCTTTTACTCGAACAAGTTGAAGTAAGGCCTCGATGCCTGGAGGTAACAAACCATTTGCAAGGGCGGTTGTTTATCGTTTTTCTATTTTACGGCGTTACACATGGAGGTTGCATTTTCCTTGGGTGGGGTGCATCGTCGCTGCCCAAAGATGCTTTGGCGTAATTTTTGCCCTCACCTTACTGGGCAAAACAATGTTGATACACATGTAAAAGTTATAGTTAATTATTTCTGTCAAAGTTAATAAATAGTAAGTAATTTCAAGAATAAAATGGCTAGCGGTAATTGTAACCCCTAGCTCAAAATATCCCAAACTCACGTTTGGCTCTTTCAATTTTAATTAATACGGCAAAACAAGTGCTCAGTAACGAGCTGCGGAAATGCAACATCTATAGTGCGACATGTCAGGAAATAGTATAGTTCACTCGCGCAAGATGACAGACATAAATAGAATATTTGCTTGCGAATAGGAATTTTATGTCTCTCATCTTGTTATAATAATCATATTAATTAACTTTGCCAAGGGTGTGGAGGAAACCTGCTTTGCAAAGATAAAACTTTAGCTGTAGGCAAATAGTTTAACTGATGGAACAACTAGATTATTTACAGGGTGCTGTCATATAGACACACTCAAACATTTTACGTTTAGTCGCTTATAGTCAGCTGTCGAGCCAAGTCATTAATCTTTTCAGCAGTAATTTGTATACATCCCACCTCCTCCCCATGCCTGCATCCATCATCCTGGTGGTTATGGTACTGGTGACTGTGTTGGGCGTAATTTTTGCCCTTACCTTACTGGGCAAAACAATGTTGATACATATGTAAAAGTTATAGTTAATTATTTCTGTCAAAGTTAATAAATAGTAAGTAATTTCAAGAATAAAATGGCTAGGGGTAATTGTAACCCTAGCTCAAAATATCCCAAACTCGCGTTTGCCTCTTTCAATTTTAATTAATACGGCAAAACAAGTGCCCAGTAACGAGCTGCGGAAATGCAACATCTATAGTGCGACATGTCAGGAAATAGTATAGTTCACTCGCGCAAGATGACAGACATAAACATTCCACTTAGATGTTTATGACGTTGAATATCTTCGGCATAAACATTCCAGTTAGATGTTTATGACGTTGAATATTTTCGGCATAAACATGCAACTTAGATGGTTATGACGTTGAATATCTTCGGAATAAACAACAACTTAGATGTTTATGACGTTGAATATCTACGGGATAAACATATGCATTCAACTTAGATGTTTATGATGTTGAATATCGTCGGGATAAACATTCAACTTAGATGTTTATGACGTTGAATATCTTCGGCATAAACATTCCACTTAGATGTTTATGACGTTGAATATCTTCGGCATAAACATTCAACTTAGATGTTTATGACGTTGAATATCTTCGCCATAAACGTTCAACTTAGATGTTTATGACGTCGAATATCTTCGGCATAAACAATTCAACTGAGATGTCTATGACGTTGTATATCTTCTGCATAAACATTCAACTTAGACGTACATGACGTTGAATATCTTCGGCATAAACATTCAACTTAGATGTTTACAACGTTGAATATCTTCGGCATGAACATTCAACTTAGATGTTTATGACGTTGAATATTTTCGGAATAAACATTCAACTTAGATGTTGATGACGCGTTGAATATCTTCGGCATGAACATCAATTTAGATGTTAATGACGTTGAATATCTTCGGCATAAACATTCAACTTAGATTATTATGACGTTGAATATCTTCGGGCATAAACATTCCACTTAGATGTTTATGACGTTGAATGTCTTCGGCATAAATATTCCACTTAGATGTTTATGACGTTGAATATCTACGGCATAAACATTCAACTTAGATGTTTATGACGTTGAATATCTTCGGCATAAACATTCAACTTAGATGAATATTTTTCTGTGCTGGTGTTGTGTACTCAGGTGAATAATATGTTTGCGATGTTACTCTGAGTGCATATCCACACCGGGCGAGCTTGAAAAATATGCCCGGTGTCAAGCGAAATTCCTGACCTCTGCTAAATACCTGACCTAGCGTGACGGGTCAGAAATTTCGCGCGTACAGGCGCGAAATACATGACGCTTGCTAAATTCTAAGTCGGCCAAAACTGTTTTTTAGAGTTTAGATAAAATAATCATAATGTTAATTTCTAATACTTCGTTAAATATTTTAAATCGACATCGCTAAGTTTCAATCACAAACACTTTAAATTTCAAAGCGAATTGTGTGGTCGTGA